ACTAACCTGAGCACAACAAAGCCCCCACCCAAACAGAACACTCCCCCATCCAATCAGAGCACAGCCAACCCCCCATCCAATCAGAGCACAGCCAAGCCCCTTAACCAATCAGAACACACCTCCACCCAATCAGAACACAGCCAAGCTCCCACCCAATCAGTTCAAACCCCACTGGCAGTTAAAAGGAAGAAACAGCTGCAATCACACATTACTCCTGGGAAGCACGAAGCTGAAGACACCAGCCTGAAGATGACGAATGTGACTTCGTCGAAACGTCGCCAAGACACTTCCAATTTTACGCGGGAGAAAACCCAAATAACCAAAGACCTACATATATATATATATATGTTGCTAAGAGTACTAAAAATAAAACACTGATTCCTGGGTAAATTCATATTGCCTGACATAAAATACATGACCACCAGGAAAATTATAAAACTATAAAAAGTTTTAATAGATTAAAATATACCTAGCTTTCGCTGGTCACTACCAGCATCGTCAGGGTAACCTCCAGAAGGTGGGGAGGCTATTTATAAGCATTGCGCTCGTTGCGCCCGGCTCCTACCTCTCGTCACGGACCCCAGGCAATCCACCTGCGCTCCAATCCTAGTATCCGTCTTGCTAATCGTTGTTTCTCTACTTTCCTTACTCCCATTTACATCATTGCCTTTCCTCCCCCCCTCCTTATGCGATTGTAAGTTACGGCAACTCCTTGTTTCAGCCGGCTCAGACCTGTGCTGCATGCCTTTGCGGTGTTTCCCTTTCTCATCTTCCCTTTTGGCATCCCTCACCGTCAATTTCCTCCCATCCTCCCTCTTCTCACAAGTCTTTCTTATCACTACACCCCCATAGCCTTTTCTTGCACTGCGGAGTCTCATTCCAACCATGCCATTATGCCTCTCATCCGGGGATATTCCCTCACCCACCCTCAGTTCTTGGTCTCTTCCTCCTCCTGTGTTCCTAAAGCGGGGGGTGGTGGTGTCACTCTCGGGCGTCTCAAGGGGCGTGCTGAAACTCCCAGGTCACGAACATCCATCTCCTCGTCTCCTCGCAGTTCCTCCGTGTTCTCACAGCAAGCACTCTCCAAAACCATAACACGGGCAGAGTCAGTCCTGGCGTCCTCGACGCGGGTGGTGCTGTAGTCCCTCCCTCTACATCTGCTCCATGCCCTGGTATCCATACGGAGCCTCATCTCAGTCGGGCTCTCTGCTGGGTGTGGGGAGGGGGCATCCAGTCTCTCCGGCAATGGCTCTCCAGCGTCCACACATTCCTCCATTCGCCGGGGGCGAGCACACACTCCCCTGGTCTGAGACTCACTTGGTAACTGTTTGTTCTCTATTGGACTCCGCTCGGAACTTTTTACCCTTGTCTTCACCTCTTCCAGGAGGCACGTTGTGGTGTTGGCTCGTTTCCTACTGGATGATCGCTCTTCCGCGATCCATGTTCTTAATGCCATGTGTGCCGGGCACAGGTCCAAATGCCGATTTATAGACTCTTCGTTGGAAAGCCAAGCTTCTTTAAGGAGCCGGCCCCCCTTTGTATTGTCATTGGCAATGATTTGCACATTATCAAAATCAAACCTGTGCCCAGACTCCATCATGTGTGTTCCAATTTGGGAGTATTGTTCACCTCTTTTTACTGCCAATTTATGTTCATGGATTCTAGTCCTGACCCTTTTAGATGTTTCTCCCACATAACTGGGCAGTCTTGACAGTTGATTTTATAAACCACGCTCGATTTCTCTGTGACGGGGAGTGGGTCCTTAGGTCTCATTACCTTGGACCGCAGCATCTGGTTGGGATTATGTGCCACCCTCACTCTGTAGGGTGCCAATATTCTAGCTGTGGCTTCCGAGACGTTGCTGATGTAGGGGAGAACAGCTCGGGTTGTTGGTGGCATTAGTTCTTCCATTCGAGGTCTAGTGGGAGGTCTAAGTGGGAAGCCATGGCGCTTAATAAATTTCATGGGATACCCATTGCGTCTGCATATTTTAACAAGATGTCTACGTTCCTCCATTCTAGCTTTGGACGTGCTGCAATGGGACTCCACCCTCTTAAAGAGGGTTCTAATGCAGCTGGCCTTGTGGACCACCGGATGGTTACTGTCATGATGTAAAATCCTATCGGTGTGCGTGGGCT